TGTCGTGATGTCATGGTAGAACCGACCCTCCATTGGACGGTGAGAATTTCCAACATGGGACTTCAGACATCTAATAGAAGCCCGTTTGACGTCCAGCACTCGAGGATTCTGGACACAGGGACCAGCAGAGTCTTCTTCGACATCAAGGATTTTTATCCCATGGCTGCATATCACCGTAACAGCTCTCCATGCACACAGGAGGAACAAGAACGACAAGATAAGGGCATATGGGAGAGAATTCTGAACGTTGATCAAGGCAGCACTCCTCTGGTGTTCACAACCTCTGGTGGAATGGGACCAAGTGCAAGATGCTTCTACGCCAGACTCCCTTGTGTTATCGAACAAGCACCAGCCAGAAGTTATCGTACAGCCTGGTTGAGGAGATCCGACTAATCCTTCTATACTCTCCTTAGGTCTGCTTTACTCTGCCTCCAGGGGAACGAGAGCATCGACCCAAAGCCGTCAACAATTGCAGATATTGACTTCAGGGCAACAGTCACTGAATGCTGCATAGATCTGCGACTCAACTAATTCAACACAGCTAGGGTAGCTACTTATGGTAAAAAAAGTAGTAGTAGTAGTAGTATTAGTAGTAGAGCCAAAGTAATATAGTCAAGACCAATATAGCAAGGTCAGTAATAGGCCAGGGTCAACAACCAGGTGTGGTAATAACGAGGTTCGGGGAGGTGGGGCGGGGGTAGATGGCTATAATAGTAAAGTGAGTTATAGAACAAGGCGAAGTATTGACCAGCCCTGCGGGTACAGCTAGCATATAACAACACGGTCAACGTGGGCGCAGTAACAGAGCCGGGAATGGTAGTGAAGAGGCACGATAATATAGCCCGGTTATATAACATAGCCAGGCGTTCTCGTACAGCATGGCAACAATGTAGCTCCGTGTGGTAACATATCAAGGGGTGGTAACATGAAGGTGTGGTAACATGAAGTTGTGGTAAAATGAAGGTGTGGTAACATGGAGGCGTGGTAACATGGAAGCGTGGTAACATGGAGGAGTGGTAATAGGAAGGCGTGGTAACATGAGGCGTGGTAACATGGAGGCGTGGTAACATGGAGGAGTGGTAATAGGAAGGCGTGGTAACATGGAAGCGTGGTAACATGGAAGCGTGGCAACATGGAGGTGGTAACATGGAGGAATGGTAATAGGAAGGCTTGGTAACATGGATGGTAACATGGAGGAATGGTAATAGGAAGGCTTGGTAACATGGAGGAGTGGTAACATGGAGGAATGGTAATAGGAAGGCTTGGTAACATGGAGGAGTGGTAACATGGAGGAATGGTAATAGGAAGGCTTGGTAACATGGAGGAGTGGTAACATGGAAGCGTGGTAACATGGAAGCGTGGTAACATGGAAGCGTGGCAACATGGAGGAGTGGTAACATGGAGGAATGGTAATAGGAAGGCTTGGTAACATGGAGGTGGTAACATGGAGGAATGGTAATAGGAAGGCTTGGTAACATGGAGGTGGTAACATGGAGGAATGGTAATAGGAAGGCTTGGTAACATGGAAGCGTGGTAACATGGAGGTGGTAACATGGAGGAGTGGTAACATGGAGGCGTGGTAAAAGGCGTGGTAACATGGAAGCGTGGTAACATGGAGGTGGTAACATGGAGGTGGTAACATGGAGGCGTGGTAACATGGTGGCGTGGTAACATGGAGGCGTGGTAACATGGAGGCGTGGTAACATGCAGGCGTGGTAACATGGATTGGTAACATGGGCGTGGTAATAGGAGGCATGGTAACATGGAGGTGGTGATAGTAAGCGTGGTAACATGGGCGTGGTAACAAGGAGGCGTGGTAACATGGAGCGTGTGGTGATAGTAAGGCGTGGTAACGGAGGCGTGGTAACATGGAGGCGTGGTAACATGGAGGTGGTAACATGGAGGCGTGGTGATAGTAAGGCGTGGTAACAAGGAGGTGTGGTAACATGGAGCGTGGTAACATGGAGAGTGGTAACATGGAGTGGTGATAGTAAGGCGTGGTAACATGGGTGGTAACATGGAGGCGTGGTAATAGGAAGGCGTGGTAATAGTAAGGCGTGGTAACATGGAGGCGTGGTGGTAGTAAGGCGTGGCAAAGCGTGGTAACATGAAGGCGTGGTAATAGCAAGGCGTGGTAACAAGGGAGGCGTGATGGTAGTAAGGCGTGGCAAAGCGTGGTAACATGAAGGCGTGGTAATAGCAAGGCGTGGTAACAAGGGAGGCGTGGTAATATGGGCGTGGTGATAGTAAGACGTGGTAACATGGATTGGTAACATGGAGGCGTGGTAATAGGAAGGCGTGGTAATAGTAAGGCGTGGTAACATGGAGGCGTGGTGGTAGTAAGGCGTGGAAGCGTGGTAACATGAAGGCGTGGTAATAGCAAGGCGTGGTAACAAGGAGGCGTGGTAACATGGAGGCGTGGTGAGAGTAAGGCGTGGTAACAAGGGCGTGGTGATTGTAAGGCGTAGTAATAGCAAGGCGTGGTAACATGGAGGCGTGGTGATAGTAAGGCGTGGTAACAAGGAGGCGTGGTAACATGGAGGCGTGATGATTGTAAGGCGTGGTAACATAGAGGCGTGGTAACATGAAGACGTGGTAATATGAAGGCGTGGTAACATGAAGGCGTGGTAACATGGAGGCGTGGTAATAGCAAGGCGTGGTAACATGAAGACGTGGTAACATGAAGGCGTGGTAACATGGAGGCGTGGTAACATGGAGGAATGGTAACATGGAGGAGAGATAACATGAAGGAGTGGTAATAGCAAGGCGTGGTAACATGAAGGAGTGGTAACATGGAGGCGTGGTAACATGGAGGAGTGATAACATGAAAGCGTAGTAACATGAAGGAGTGGTAACATGGAGGTGTGGTAATAGCAAGGCGTGGTAACATAGAGGTGTGGTAACATGAAGACGTGGTAATATGAAGGCGTGGTAACATGAAGGCGTGGTAACATGGAAGCGTGGTAACATGGAGGAGTGGTAACATGGAGGAGTGATAACATGAAGGAGTGGTAATAGCAAGGCGTGGTAACATGGAGTGGTAACATGGAGTGGTAACATGGAGGTGTGGTATCACGGAGGAGTGATAACATGGGCGTAGTAACATGAAGGAGTGGTAACATGGAGGTGTGGTAACATGGAGGTGTGGTAACATGGAGGAGTGGTATGGAGGAGTGATAACATGAAGGAGTGGCAATAGCAAGGCGTGGTAACATGGAGGCGTGGTAACATGGAGAAGTGATAATATGAAGGAGTGGTAATAGCAAGGCGTGGTAACATGGAGTGGTAACATGGAGGCGTGGTAACATGGGGGAGTGATAACATGAAGGCGTGGTAATAGTAAGGAGTGGTAACATGGAGGCGTGGTAACATGGAGGAGTGATAACATGAAAGCGTAGTAACATGAAGGAAAGGTAACATGAAGGCGTTGTAATAGCAAGGCGTGGTAACATGGAGGCGTGGTAATAGCAAGGCGTGGTAACATGAAGGAGTGGTAACATGGAGGTGTGGTAACATGGAGGAGTGATAACATGAAGGCGTGGTAACATGGAGGAATGGTAACATGGAGGAGAGATAACATGAAGGAGTGGTAATAGGGGGATAGATCACTATCTTCTAACTACCGCCCAATCAGTCTAACATCTTTAGTAGGCAAATTACTGGAAGCAATCATTTCAAACTCTATTCGAAATCACCTGGAGAAGCACCGATTGATCAATGATTCCCAGCATGGCTTCACAAGCGGACGTTCTTGCCTAACTAATCTATTAACATTCTTTTCATCAGTTTTCGAATCAGTGGACGAGGGGCACAATTATGATGTGGTATATCTCGACTTTAGCAAAGCCTTCGACAGAGTCCCCACGAAAGACTAATTAGAAAGGTAGAAGCTCATGGCATCAAAGGTGACATCCTTAAATGGATTAGGGCGTGGTTACAGGACAGGAAACAGCGAGTGAGCATTAACGGCACTAAGTCCCATTGGAGCAACGTCACAAGTGGAGTTCCCCAAGGCTCAGTACTTGGACCATTATTATTTATTATATACATAAACGACATAGATATCGGCATAGACAGCAACATAAGCAAATTTGCTGATGACACTAAAATAGGACGTGTTATCAAATCTGACGAGGACTCGGCAAAACTACAGGAAGATCTAAACAAATTTTTCGAATGGTCTGAAAAATGGCAGATGAAATTCAATGTCGACAAATGTAAAGTACTCAGTATAGGAGATGTAAACAGAGAAACCAGATACCAGATGAACAACGATGCCATAGAGAAATCCGAATGCGAGAGAGATTTAGGAGTAATGATAAGTAGGAACCTTAAGCCAAGTAAACAATGCGTTTTTGCTCGTAACAAGGCTAATAAAGTACTTGGGTTCATACAAAGGAGTGTTAGTTACAAGACTAGCGAGGTCATCCTAAAACTGTATCTTGCTCTTGTGAGACCACACCTGGATTCCGCAGTTCAGTTCTGGTCACCGTATTACAGAATGGATATAGAATCCTTGGAAAGAATTCAAAGGAGAATGACAAGACTAATCCCGGGCATTAGGAACCTTGAGTATAGAGACAGGTTAAAGCATCTTAATTTGCACTCCCTCAAGAGACGTAGAGCGAGGGGCGACCTGATAGAGGTGTATAAGTGGAAGGCAGGGCTAAACAAAGGGGACATTACAAAGGTACTCAAATTATCCAACCAGGAGCGAACTCGTAACAATGGTTTTAAATTAGACAAATTTAGATTTAGGCGTGAAATAGGTAAACACTGGTTTGGAAACAGAGTAGTGGATGAATGGAACAAGTTACCAAATATCATCATTAACTCGAATACGCTGAATTGCTTCAAACATAGGTTGGATGCTCATATGAGCAATAGGGGTTGGGTGTAAACGGGACTGCCCAGTATGGGCCAATAGGCCCGCTGCAGTTTCCTCCATTCTTATGTTCTTATGTTCTTAATAGCAAGGCGTAGTAACATGGAGGAGTGATAACATGAAGGCGTAGTAACATGAAGGAGTGGTAACATGGAGGCGTGGTAACATGAAGGAGTGGTAACATGGAGGTGTGGTAACATGAAAGAGTGATAACATGAAGGCGTGGTAATAGCAAGGCGTAGTAACATGGAGGAGTGATAACATGAAGGCGTAGTAACATGAAGGAGTGGTAACATGGAGGTGTGGTAACATGGAGTGGTAACATGGAGGTGTGGTAATAGCAAGGAGTAGTAACATGAAGGAGTGGTAACATGGAGGCGTGGTAATAGCAAGGCGTGGTAACATGGAAATGTGTATGAGCTCTGTCTGATATTGCTAACACTGAGCCACATGCGGCTTTTGAGGCATTCACCCATGGAGTCAAACATTACTGGAACTACCTGATGCGCATTACCCCTAATACCGGACCCCTCCTCCACCCTCTGGAAGAAGCCATCAGCGTCGTCAATTTCATTCCCAAATTAGCGAAACATCTTCACTTAACCCCAGCAGAAATATCACTCCTTGCACTACCACCGAGACTGGGAGGAATGGGATTGACCAATCCAGAGGAGACTGCTGCCACTGAACATCAAAACTCAGTTAAGCTAACGGCAGTTAAACTCACCACATAATAGCTCAGAATGCAACAGGCGAGGTGGATACCAGCGAAGTAAATAAGATTTGACGGTCCATTACGACCGAACGACAGCATGGCCAAAGTGATAGGTTACAGCAACTGATGCTGCAAGTACCAGAGAATTAAAAAAAAAAAAAGTAGCTATAGCGCAGGAGGTGGGCGCCTCGAACTGGTTAACTACGTTACCGATAAAGGCAAATGGTTTCAGTCTTAACAAAGAAGAATTTACAGATGCCATTGCTCTAAGGTAAGGTAGGCCAGTAGAAGGTTTGCCCTCCCAATGCGTGTGTGGCTCTTCCAATAACGTCGATCACGCCATGGTGTGCAAGAAAGAGGGCTTCATATGCATGAGGCATGACGAAGTAAGGGACCTCACAGCAAATATGTTGAAGGAAATCTGTCGTGATGTCATGGTAGAACCGACCCTCTTTCCATTGGACGGTGAGAATTTCCAACATAGGACTTCAAACACATCTAATGAAGCCCGTTTTGACGTCAGCACTCGAGGATTCTGGACACGGGGACAGCGAGTCTTCTTCGACATCAGGATTTTTTATCCCATGGCTGCATATCACCGTAACTTAGCTCTCCATGCTGCACACAGGAGGAACGAGAACGACAAGATAAGGGCATATGGGGAGAGAATTCTGAACGTTGATCAAGGCAGCTTCACTCCTCTGGTGTTCACAACCTCTGGTGGAATGGGACCAAGTGCAAGATGCTTCTACGCCAGACTCGCAGAGGTGTTATCCGAACAGAAGCACCAGCCCAGAAGTTATGTTACAGCCTGGTTGAGAAGTCGACTGTCCTTCTCTCTCCTTAGGTCTGCTTTACTCTGCCTCAGGGGAACGAGAGCATCGACCCCAAAGCCGTCAACAATTGCAGATATTGACTTCGAGGCAACAGTCACTGAATGCTGCATAGATCTGCGACTCAACTAATTCAACACAGCTAGGGTAGCTACTTATGTATTAGGATATTTAATATTAAGGTAATAAAATGGTGGGGAAGGTGTGGCTATTGAGGGAGGTTTGAGGCCATTTAAAAAAAAAGTAGTAGTAGTAGAGCCAAAGATAATAATATAGCCAAGGTCAATAATATAGTCAGGGTCAGTAACAGAGCCGGGGTCAACAGCCAGGCGCTGCTGAGCAGCGGCCCCCCTTGGCCGTGTTCGGCCACACTCCCCAAATCCCTCTCCCAGACCATCCTCACCACAGGGATATCAACATAATCAAAAGTGACAATTTCGTTTCGGAAAGAAGTGGGATCAGTGTTAAACAGTGATGAACAGTGTTTAAGCCAGTGAATTCAGCACCAGACAGTACCAGTGAGAGCCGTGACCCACTTCTGAGATAAGCACCCCTGGGAACTGACCACCATCTTCTGACCAGGAGGTGCTAATCAGTCCACCATGGTAACAACAGTGGGTCGGCTTCACACCTTACTATGAGATAACACAACACCACCCGGCAGAGTGAGGTACTGTGACACCACCCCACACCACATGGTGTCCCCATGACCATGTGAGGTCCTTCATATCAACACCGACGGAAGAGTTACGGCACCACATGAACACCACACCACCAGGTGTCCCCATAACCACGTGAGGTCCTTCATATCAACACCTACGGAAAAGTTACTACACCACGTGAACAACTCACCACCTGGTGTCTCCATGACCATCAACTGTAAACTATAATAATTTGTATGTTCAATTCATGTTCCTTCTCCTTTCAGTAATGAAAGCTTTTGTTAAACGACCCACCCACCCTATGTCTTTGTATGTAATAAGTCATTTTGTCCAATGTATATTTTCAGCCTTCGGGCTGCAGAACTTTTTCAATAAACAGTTAATTATTATTATTATTATTATTATTATTATTATTATTATATTATTATTATTATTATTATAGCGAGCTATTATAGTAATGTGAGTTATAGAACAAGGCGAAGTATTGACCAGCCCTGCGGGTACAGCTAGCAAAAAACAACACGGTCAACGTGGGCGCAGTAACAGAGCCGGGATTGGTAGTGAAGAGACATGTTTATATAGCCCGGCTATATAACATAGCCAGGCGTTGTCGTACAGCATGGCAGCAATGTAGCTCCGTGTGATAACGTATCAAGGGGTGGTAACATGAAGGAGGGGTAACATGAAGGTGTGGTAACATGGAGGCGTGGTAACATGAAGGTGTGGTAACATGGAGGCGTGGTAACATGGAGGTGTGGTAACATGGAAGAGTGGTAACATGGAGGCGTGGTAGCATGGACGAGTGGTAACATGGAGGCGTGGTAACATGGAGGAGTGGTAACTTGGAGGTGTGGTAACAGGGAGGCGTGGTAACATGGAGGAGTGGTAACTTGGAGGTGTGGTAACATGGAGGCGTGGTAGCATGGAGGAGTGGTAACATGGAGGCGTGGTAACATGGAGGAGTGGTAACATGGAGGTGTGGAAACATGGAGGAGTGGTAACTTGTAGGTGTGGTAACATGGAAGTGTGGTAACATGGAGGAGTAGTAACTTGAGGAGTGTGGTAACATGGAGGTGTGGTAACATGGAGGAGTGGTAACATGGAGTGGTAACATGGAGGTGTGGTAACATGGAAGAGTGGTAACATGCAGGCGTGGTAGCATGGAGGAGTGGTAACATGGAGGCGTGGTAAAATGGAAGAGTGGTAACATGGAGGAGTGGTAACTTGGAGATGTGGAAACATGGAGAAGTGGTAACATGGAGGTGTGGTAACAAGGAGGCGTGGTAACATGAAGGCATGGTAATAGCAAGGCGTGGTAACAAGGAGGCGTGGTAATAAACAGGAGTGGTAACATGAAGGCGTGGTAATAGCAAGGCGTGGTAACAAGGAGGCGTGGCAACATGGAGGCGTGGTAACAGCAAAGCGTGGTAACATGAAAGTGGTAATGTAGGGCACGGTGGTAACAAGGAGGCGTGGTAACATGGGCGTGTAAAGCGTGGTAACATGGAGGCGTGGAAATAGGGCGTGGTAACAAGGAGGCGTGGTAACATGGAGCGTGGTGGTAACATGAAGGCATGGTAATAGCAAGGCGTGGTAAGGCGTGGTAACATGGAGCGTGGCAAGGCGTGGTATTGTATAAGGCGTGGTAACAAGGAGGCGTGTGGTAACATGGAGGGTGTGGTAATATGCAAGGCGTGGTTACATGGAAGCGTGGTAATAGTAGGTGTGGTAACATGAAGGCGTGGTGATGTAAGGCGTGGTAACGGAAGGCGTGGTAACATGGTGAACATGGAGGCGTGAAAAAAGCGTGGTAACATGGAGGCGTGGAGGCGTGGTAATAGCAAGGCGTGGTAACAAGGAGGCGTGTGCGTGGGCTAGCATGGTAATAGGCGTGGTAACAGGAGGCGTGGCATGCGGCAACGTGGTAACAGAAGGCGTGGTAATAGCAAGGCGTGGTAACAGGAGGCGTGGTGGTAAGGCGTGGCGAAGGCGTGGTAAAGGCGTGGTAACAAGGAGGCGTGGTAATAGCGGGGCGTGGTAATGAGCGTAGTAACATGGTGAAGGCATAGGTGGTAGCGTGAAGGCGTGGTAACAAAGGCGGGGCGTGGTGGTATGGCGGCGGTGGTAAAGCATGGGTAATAGCAAGGCGTGGTAACAAGGCGTGGTGAGGCGTGGCAAAGCGTGGTAACATGAAGGCATGGTAATAGGGCGTGGTAACAAGGAGGCGTGGTAACATGGAGGCGTGGGGAGGCGTGGTGATGGTAATGCGTGGCAAAGCGTGGTAACATGAAGGCGGGTAATAGGGCAAACATGGAGGCGTGGGGGCGTGGTGAACGTGGTAACATGAAGGGTAATAAAGGCGTGGTAAGGCGTGGTAACATGGAGGCGTGGTAACATGCGTGGTAATAGCAAGGCGTGGTAACAAGGAGGCGTGGCAATGCGTGGCGTGGTAATAGCAAGGCGTGGTAATGGAGGCGTGGCAATGCGTGGTAACATGGAGGCGTGGTAAGGCATGGCGTGCAAGGCGTGGTAATGGAGGCGTGGCAATGCGTGGTAACATGGAGGCGTGGTGGTAAGGCGTGGTAACAGGAGGCGTGGCAATGCGTGGTAATGGGGCGTGGCAAGGCGTGGTAACAAAGCGAAGGCGTGCAACGCGTGTGTGCGTGGTAACATGAAAGGCGTGGTAACGTGGTAATGGTAACAGCGTGGTAACATGGAGGCGTGGTAATAGCAAGGCGTGGTGATAGTAAGGCGTGGCAAAGCGTGGTAACATGTAAGGCGCGTATGAAGGCGTGAACAAGGAGGCGTGGTAAGCAAGGTGGTAATAGCAAGGCGGTGGCAACAGGATGGGAAGGCGTGGCAAAGCGTGGTAACATGGAGGCGTGGTAAAGGCGTGGTAACAAGGAGGCGTGGTGATGGTAAGGCGTGGCAAAGCGTGGTAACATGAAGGCGGTGCAACAGCAAGGGCGGCAGGAGGCGCGGTGATGGTAAGGCGTGGCAAAGCGTGGTAACATGAAGGCGTGGTAATAGCAAGGCGTGGTAACATGGAGGCGTGGCAATAGTAAGGCGTGGTAACATAAGGACGTGGTAATAGTAAGGCGGTGGTAACTGGAGCGTGGTAACATGGAGGACGTGGTAATAAGGCGTGGTAACATGGGCGTGGTGATTGTGGAGTCGGTGATAGGAAGGCTTGGTAATAGGGCGCGGTATCATGGAGGCGTGGTGAAATGGAGGCGTGGTAACATGGAGGCGTGGTAACATGAAGGTGTGGTAATAGCAAGGCGCGGTATCATGGAGGCGTGGTAATAGTAAGGCGTGGTAACATGGGCGTGGTGATTGTAGAGTCGTGATAGGAAGGCTTAGGTAATATCAAGGCGCGGTATCATGGAGGCGTGGTGAAATGGAGGCATGGAGGCGTGGTAACATGAAGGTGTGGTAATAGTAAGGCGTGGTAACGTGGTAATAGGGCGGCAAATGGGCGTGGTTAATAGTAAGGCGTGGTAACATGGAGGCGTGGTGATTGTAAGAGTCGGTGATAGGAAGGCTTGGTAATAGCAAGGCGCGGTATCATGGAGGCGTGGTGAAATGGAGGCGTGGTAACATGGAGGCGTGGTAACATGAAGGTGTGGTAATAGCAAGGCGCGGTATCATGGAGGCGTGGTGAAATGGAAGCGTGGTAACATGGAAGCGTGGTACATGGAGGCGTAAAAACATGGAGGCGTGGTAATAGTAAGGCGTGGTAATAGCGAAGGCCCAGGGGGAGGATGTGGGCAATAACTGTGGTGGTGGTGTGGCGGGTCAGCTGCTACTGACGCCACTGTAATTAATTACCACTCAAATGAATACACGACCTTAGGGCTTGTTCCTATGTAATAATTATCATCCCCTCTCTCTCTCCCATTGAACTGTGATGGTCTGCTATATGTTCGTTTCCCATTACAATATTTTGTTACATTCGTGCGTCTTGAAGCGCGTGTTGACCAGGGAATCACATCACAGCTCCCTCATAAACCGGCTGTTAGGAGCGTCAGCTACGGGAAAAACCTGACGCGTCATACTAATTAAAATGTTGTAAAGTTTCCATACAACAACAGCATAAAGAGCAATGCATTCAGACTGGAATCGTTTGACGAGCATGCATATATATATATATATATATATATATATATATATATATATATATATATATATATATATATATATATATGTGTGTGTAGAACACAAACTAACAATGACTAACCATCATACAACACCACCAAACAGTCATTCTCGTACAAGTGACAGCTAACGACTATTCTAGCGAGATACATGATTGACCACTGTCAAAAATGTCACCTTATTCACCGGGAAACTTGTTACCAGTCAACCAACAAAAGTAAACTGAACACGAAACTTGGTCATTATAAACGCCAAAACTCACCAAAGATATATTATCCACCACCCTTTAGTCTTTATCCACCACCCTATTGTCTAAACATAGTTTATCCATAACATAGTCTGAAAAATACTTTATCCACCACCCCTGATGATCTAAAAAAAATCACAGTGCATTCGAGAGTTTTAGGGCCAGATAAGAGGAGGTTGGAAGGAGATGGAAGCAGAGGTGGCTGTGGGGAGGTAGCTGGTTGGGCAGTGGAGGTGGGCGCTGCTTGCGCCGAGGGTTGGTGGGGGCTAGTTGGCCGGGGGTAGTGAGGGCTGGTTGGCCGGGGGTTGGTGGGGGCTGGTTGGCCGGGGGTTGGTGGGGGGCTGGTTGGCAGGGACTGGTTGGTTGGGGGTTGGTGGGGGCTGGTTGGCCAGGTTAGTGGGGGGCTGGTTGGCCGGGGTTGGTGGGACTGGTTGGCTGGGGTTGGTGGGGACTGGTTGGCTGTGGGATTTGGGCCGGGGTTGGTGGGCTGATTGACCGGGGGTTGGTGGGGGCTTCACACACACACACAGTGATATTTTTTTATATCACTACAAGTCTTTGGGAGTGGAGTGAGTGAGCGTGGGAGTGAAGAGGTATATGAGTGGAGTGGAATCAGTGTGTTCAGGATAGTGAAGAAAACAAATTAAGCGAGATAGTAGTGACTAGAACGATGTTAGTAAGCAAATAGACAAACTAAAGCCTAATAAGTCACCGATGAGATATTTGCCAGTATTAAAGGAATGTAAGGAAGGAAGCATTACTTTAGCAAAGTTGTTTAACATGTCCTAAAAACAGGTGTAGTACCAGAATCCTGGAGGATAGCAGATAATACCGATTTTCAAGAGGGATAGATCACTATCCTCTAACTACTGCTAATCAGTCTAACATCAATAGTAGGCAAATTACTGGAAGCAATCATTCCAACTCTATTCGAAATCACCTGGAGAAGCACAGATTGATCAATCATTCCCAGCATGGCTAAAGCGGACGTTCTCGTCTAACTAATCTATTAACATTCTTTCATCAGTTTTCGAATCGGTGGACGAGGGCACAATATGATGTGGTATATCGACTTGCAAAGCCTTCGACAGAGTCCCCGAAAGACTAATTAGAAGGTAAAGCGCAAAAGGTAACATCCTTAAATGGATTAGGGCGTGGTTACAGGACAGGAAACAGCCAGTGAGCATTAACGGCACTAAGTCCCATTGAACAACGTCACAAGTGGAGTTCCCCAGGCTCAGTACTTGGACCATTATTATTTTAATATCATAGGCAGCAAAATAAGTAAATTTGCTGATGACACTAAAATAGGGCGTGTTATTAAATCTGACGAAGGACTCCATAAAACTACAGGAAGATCTAAACAAATTTTTCGAATGGTCTGAAAAATGGCAGATGAAATTCAAGTGGACAAATGGAAAGTACTCAGTATAGGAGATGTAAACAGGAAACCAGATACCAGATGAGCAACGATGCCATAGAAATCCGATTGCAGAGATGTGGGAGTAATGGTGAAGTAGGAACCTTAGCCAAGTAAACAATGTGTTTTGCTCGTAACAAGGCTAATAAAGTACTTGGGTTCATACAAAGGAGTGTTAGTTACAAGACTGGCGAGGTTATCCTAAAACTGTATCTTGAGCTTGGGGAGACCACACCTGGATTCGCAGTTCAGTTCTGGTCACCGTATTACAGGATGGATATAGAATCATTGGAAAGAATTCAGAGGAGAATGACAAAGACTAATCCAGGGCATTAGGAACAGCAGGTATAGAGACAGGTTGAAGCATCTTAATGCACTCCTGAGACGTAGAGCGAGGGCGACCTGATAGAAGTGTATAAGTGGAAGTCAGGGCTAAACAAGGGACATTACAAAGGCACTCAAACTATCCAACCAGAACAAACTCGTAACAATGGTTTTAAATCAGACAAATTTAGATTTAGGCGTGAAATAGGTAAACACTGGTTTTGGAAACAGAGTAGTGGATGAATGGAACAAGTTACCAAATATCATCATTTTAACTCGAATATGGATAACCAAACATAGGTTGGATGCTTATATGAGCAATAGGGGTTGGGTGTAAACAGGACTGCAGTATGGACTAATAGATACTGCAGTTTCTTCCATTCTTATGTTCTTATGTTCTTATACTCGGTAAAGATGATATATATATATATATATATATATATAGTGTGGAAGTGCAGCAGGTGAGTGGTCTAAGGACACCAGCAGTAGGGCGTGACAACCACCACGGCCGAGGAGGCAACTATACTCTTTGTAACAGGAAACATTAAGCTAATAATGGTACACTTTGTCGCAGGAAATGCCAGACTTACTGCAAGAGCCATGGCAGGAGAGAGAACAAAGCAAGTATTTTGTAGAGGAACACCTAAACAACACGCAGTAGATGCAGGACTCAGGGGTTTTCTGTAGGTGAAGATGTTATGATGTATGAGGGCATTGTGTGTGTGTGTGTGTGTGTGTGTGTGTGTGTGTGTGTGTGTGTGTGTGTGTGTGTGTGTGTGTGTGTGGGAGGGGGACTGGTGTGTGTGTGTGTGTGTGTGTGTGTGTGTGTGTGTGGAGGGGACTGGTGTGTGTGGAGGGGACTGGTGTGTGGAAAGACTGGTGTGTGTGGAGGGGAACTGGTGTGTGGAGAGGACTGGTGTGTGTGTGTGTGTGTGTGTGTGTGTGTGTGTGTGTGTGTGTGTGTGTGTGTGTGTGTGGGAGGAGGGACTGGTGTGTGTGGGAGGGGGACTGGTGTGTGGAGGGGGACTGGTGGTGGAAAAGACTGGTGTGTGTGGAGGGCTGGTGTGTGGAGGGACTGTGTGTGTGTGTGTGTGTGTGTGTGTGTGTGGAGGGGACTGGTGTGTGTGTGGGGGACTGGTGTGTGGAAAGGACTGGTGTGTGTGGAGGGAACTGGTGTGTGGGAGGAACTGGTGTGTGGAGGACTGGTGTGTGTGTGTGTGTGTGTGTGTGTGTGTGTGTGTGTGTGTGTGTGTGTGTGGGGACTGGTTGTGAGGGAGAGGGACTGGTGTGTGTGGAGGGGACTGGTGTGTGTGTGTGTGTGTGTGTGTGGAGTGGTGTGTGTGAAGTGGACTGGCGTGTGTGTGTGGAGGGGACTGGTGTGTGTGTGAGGAGGACTGGTGTGTGTGGGGGGGACTGGTGTGTGTGTGTGTGTGGAGGGATGGTGTGTGTGGAGAGGGACTGGTGTGTGTGGTGGGGACTGGTGTGTGTGGATGGGGACTGGTGTGTGTGTGGAGGGGACTGGTGTGTGGGAGGGACTGGTGTGTGGAGGGACTGTGTGTGTGTGGAAGGGACTGGTGTGTGTGTGTGTGTGGAGGGGACTGTGTGTGTGGAGAGGGGACTGGTGTGTGTGGAGGGGACTGGTGTGTGGGTGGACTGGTGTGTGTGTGTGTGGAGGGACTGGTGTGTGTGGAGAGGGACTGGTGTGTGTGGAGGGGGACTGGTGTGTGTGGAGGGACTGGTGTGTGTGGAGGGGACTGGTGTGTGTGTGGAGAGGGACTGGTGTGTGTGAGGGGGACTGGTGTGTGTGTGGGGGGACTGGTGTGTATGGAAGGGACTGGTGTGTGTGTGGAGAGGGACTGGTGTGTGTGGAGGGGGGACTGGTGTGTGTGGAAAGGAT